TTTTTTTTTTTTTTTTTTTAAATAGGTTTGAGTCTATATTCTGCTCTTTTTGCAGGCTCTTTCTTGTAGTGTCTTTCTTCCCTTGCTATTTTTAAAGAAGTCTCTTTTTTTGTGATCATTAACCACAAGCCTGTCTTCTATATCTGAGATCCTGTCCTCACATTGGCTTACTCTGCTGTGGACACTTTCAGTGGAATTTTTATTCTCCTGGATATCTGCTTGGTTCTTGATCCATTCTGCCAGGCTGTGCCTTTGATTTCTGAATTGAGACCGTTAACATTAATGGCTATAACTGGTATGTATTGACTTATCCTTATCAATAACTTATCCATGTTGTTTTCCTGTTGTTGGCTCTCTCCTCCCTTTTTTCTCCTCCCTCTGTTTGCTTTGCCTGGTGGATTCCTTCTGTTGGGGCTTATAAAGTTGTAATCTTTGTTATCTCTTTCTAGAATGTCCTTCAAAACATTTGGGAGTGCTGGTTTGGTGGTCATGAATTTGTTCAGGTGTTCTTTGTCATGAAAGTATCTTATTTTTCCATCAGTTTTGAAATACAGTTTTGCAGGGTGCATCAATCTAAACTGAAGGTTTTCCTTCAGAACTTGAAATACTTCACTCCAAGCTCTCCTTGACTTGAGGGTTTGTGCTGAAAAGTTAGCTGTGACTCTGATGGGCTTTTCTCTACAGTTGATTTGCTTCTTTTCTCCTTGACTTGAGGATTCCATCTTGTTTGTTTTCTCATTTTCTTTTCTTTCTTTTTTTTTTTTTTTTGTTTAATTCCTGGGTTGATGCTTATAAATTGCCTGTGGTGAGTTGCTTTATTGCTAGTATTTAGAACCCTTAGAAAGTGACTACTTCTTCGAGGTGTCTTCCAGGTGTAGCTGATTCTTAGGTTTTGAGTCTGGTGCAGAATCCTACCTCTTTGATTTGTTGGGGATGAGAAGTTGCTGCCTGCTTGGCCCAGCTCTGGTTTTCTGAAACTGTGCCACAGTATTTTGTATGACCCTGAGTCACTGTCATTCTTGGAATATCAGGCAGAATAGCTCATTAGAACAGTTATGTCACTTTTGGCTAAAGTGGTACTATCAGCAATAACAGTAGTGTGAAACACAGCCTAGAAAATGACAAACTCAGATAACAATTAATTTGCCACCTTTAACCATATGAACTAGATTTGTGGTTATATAACAAAATGTAAAACAAACTGGAAAATTATATGCAGTATATAAGTCCTTAGTATGTCAGTTTCACCCTCAGCAGTTAAAATTTAAAAGGGGTTAGGAAGGAAATAGAGAAGAAGAGGAAGAGATTAGAAGTAAGGCTGGAGGACAAGGAGGGATCATTTGGGAAACTGGTGCTGAAGACTGGAGGGAAAGAGAGATGAAAGAACAGAACAACTACGACAAAGAGGCTAGAAACCACGTTTACACTCATGTAAAAAGATCAAAATGGAGAAAAAGGAAACAAAAAACACAACAATGAAAAACGAGAGAGAGAAAGAGAGAACTCCACTTCCAGGTTTGTCTCTGCTGTCACTAGTAGACAGCGTGTGGAGACAGAGTCCAGATGTGTGTTGATTTATCCCAGCAGGCCAGCAGTACCTTTATGGGGGGTAGTGGATAATCTCAGTGAGCCTGCACCTGCATTTCCCCTGAAGTTCAGGCTGTACTTTGAGACCAGACCCATTCAGCTTTCAGCAGTCAGCACACCTTTTTCTCTGGGCCTGTACCCAGCTGGGAGCCACTAGATGGAGCCAGCAGCCTGAGTTCTGAGCTCAGCTGGCCCCTCTGTAAGATGGCTCCCAGCCAACCCCTCTCCTGCGGGAGGACCTAGCCCTCAGCACTCACACCCAGCTAGTGCAGTCCTTCACAGCCACTGCTCCCCTCCACTGCTGCGTCTCTCCGTGGAGGCCTCTTGTGTTCAGCAGTCACCGTGTGTCTGCCGGTTCGATCCGCTCCTCTCGTGCAGTACGTCCCATCTCAGGGAGAAGGCAGCACTGGCCACCTCTTTCTTCTTCGTTGAAGTTTCTCTCTTCACTCCCTCCCTAGGCTTCAGTTCTAGCTTCAGATCCTTCCTGGGCCCAAGGGACCCACTTCCTTCCTTCTTGGTGCACCTCCTGCATTCAGTGTGCTTCTTGACAGCAGTGTTTGACCACAGCAGGCTACAAACTTGCAGTGTTAAAGTTGAGAATTTGAAGATTTTGAATCCTTAATTAATCTTGTGGTACAATCCTGAGATTTAAGTCATATATGAAGTGGAGAAGGTATCTGCTGTTGTTCTGATTTGTTACGGATATTAAATAATAGACTGTACATAAAAACATTCCACTAGCTGTAAGGAGCTTATATGAGTTTTTTTATTTACTCATCTGTATTTTTTGACGCCTGTTCTGTGCTTGCTAACACATGATGCCATGCGCTTGGTGTGAACATGGCAGTCACTCACAGAGTGTGAGCTGCTTGTTAGTTAGGGTTCCTGGTTTGATGAGTCCAGACCAGGTGTATCCCCAGGTGAGAGAGGGAGAAACAAGCCACATATTCTTTCTGCCTTTGCAGCTGGCAGAGATGGAGGAGGAGCTACGGTATGCACCCCTGTCTTTCCGTAACCCCATGATGTCTAAGCTGCGAAACTACCGGAAAGACCTCGCCAAACTACATCGGGAAGTAAGAACCATGCCTTTGACAGCTGCACCTGGGGGCCGAGGAGACATGAAGTATGGCACATATGCTGTGGAGAATGAGCATATGGTAAGTGCCCACCTTTTGTTTTTCCCTTAAGGGCCAGTAGTGCAAGAATTAAACATTTTACATTTAGTTCGCATCAGTGCACATTGGATTCTTGGGTTTTTTTCCTACCATTGTCGTCCTACCTGTATCCAGTTCCCCTTCTCACTCCTCACTCACCTGCTCTTTTTTTTTGTTTGTTTGTTTGTTTGTTTTTCTCCGGTACCAGGAACCGAACTCACGACCTTGCGCTTGCCAGGCAGGCGCTTTTTGCCGCTGAGCTAAATCCCCAGCCCCGCACCTGCTCTTTTTAATGCATGTCTTTTGTGTGAGATATATACACACACATACACCTATGCGTAGATAGAGAGTGCTTTGTATAGCAATACATGTTAGCTGTTCTTACCAGGACTCTATTCTAACCTGTTGATTTAATTTCTTCTTGAGCTTTTATTCTTTTTATTATTACTATTTTAAAGAGAATAATAAAAAAACCAACAACATGGACAAAAACGGGTTTCAAAACAGAATGATAGGAATTAACAGTGGTTGTTATATTACATATTGTTATCTTCAACAAAGTTGCTCAGATTATTCTTTCATATAAATTTTAGAATTAGTTTTTCAAGTATGCCCCTAAAAGTTTGGGTTTTCACTTTATCAGAGTATTACTACAAAATTAATCCAAGTTTTTCTTAACTTAATGTCAAGATGGCCTGGTAACTGATACAGGACAAATGCAGGTGATTCTTGAGGAATGGAGCCAGATTGACTCCCTAGCCTTCAAGATTCAGATTTACAAAATTTGGCTAATTAAAAACCCATATCCTGGAGCCATCTAGAAAGTTGGATAATTAAAGGAATAAAATAAAACATCATGCCTGGTGTGGTGATGCATACATTTTATACCATCTATCTGCTCAGGAGGCCGAGTCAGGAGGAATGACGCCAGCCTAGGCAACTTAGTGAGACCCTATCTCAAAAAATAAAAAGATGTGAGCCAAAATAGACCTCTTTATAAGTAAATGAATGGATGAATGAATGAATGGCTTAGGATATAGCTCACGTAGTAAGAGTACCACCAAAGAAATCCACAGATTAAATTTAATGTGCTGCATTAGGATTATATTCCAGAAACACAGTACAAAGTAAGAACTGCCTGACAAAGTCATATAGAAGAGAAACAGAAGGGGGCCCACCACCAAGGGTGACTGAACTTAGCAGGATGGCAGTAGTAGTAGTAAAACTTTGAACAAATCCTGTTCCACGATGCATCCTAATTGTAGATTAAGAGACACTCAGAATGGTACTTGCTTGACATTGCTGATGTCAAAACCCAAACGGACACAGGAGATTGTTACAGATCAGAATCTCACAAGTGATCACGAGTGAAGGGCGAGTGGAAAAAGGAGGACAGAGCTTGTTAGGTAGGAGTTATAAAAGTGACTTAACTGCTGGGCATGGTGGCGCATGCCTGTAATGCCCGCACTCAGGAGGCTGAGGCAGGGAATCACTGCGAGTTCGAAGCTAGCCAAGACTACATAGCGAGACCCTGTCTCAAAAAAGAAAAAAATGAAAAGACCAGAAAAGGAAGAGGAAAAAATTACTAGCTTCTTCCAATGCAGTGGTGTACACCTGTAATCCTAAACTGGTGAGAAAGCTGAGGCAAGAGGAAGAAGAGTTCAAGGCCAGCCTGAGCAACTAGACAAGATTTGAGATTCTATAAAAATAATGATTAGTTTCAATGTTTTTGTTTTTGTATTTCTTTGAGACAGGGTCCCTTGGCTGTCCAGGCTGACCCTGAACTCCTGGGCTCAAGCAGACATCCTGAGTGTGGAGCACAGGTCCACACCTTCTTGCCTAGCTCCTTGAGCCATAGCTCTAGGTGTTGTGTTCCACCTTCGGTAGAATTACCTACTGTTCCAGGTCTATCTGAGGTTGATTTACGTGATGCCATTGTCTTTTCCTGCTCTTTCTTTGGCCTAATCATTTGAAATTCTGTGCATATTTCATTTTAAAAAGTCTTCTATTGGCTTATTTCGAGCTAATACAGCTGGGTTTGTTTGCACCTCACTCACTGGTTTCCTCACCCACTGGTCTGTGTGCCATTTGTTATATGAAAATGCACCCTCTTACATCTTGTGGTGTCGAGGTCCTGCTGCCGTAGTCATTTGCTTCGCTATAAGCCTCTGAGGGCTGGGCCTCGTTTTGATTGCGTGCACTTGGACTAGCTTAGAACTTAGAGCCGTACCTACTTTTGTACCTGGTGGTTAACTCTGACCTGACAGAGGCTACTTTTCTCCTCCTTTTCTGTACTTACCGTTATGCGTAGACTAAAACTTCAGCAAAGATTTAGAAAATTAGGGCAGTTGGAGGAACTTATGGAAGCTCCAGTTACTGACTTCTCTGAGAGCAGATCAAGTGTGGGGGCTTCACAGTTGTGTGTGTTTGGCCGGAGGTGAATTTCTTTTGGGAGCATACCAGGAGTGTAGCCATGTGTTCTTTCCAGAATGTGAGTGTGTCTCAAGATTTCTAAATGATTCAGGCTTCAGCAGCAGTCAAGTGGGACTCTGCAGTGAGTTAGTCTATTTCTAGAGCTGCAGAGGTCAGCTGCTTTTCCTGTAGCACAGTTGTCTGCATTCTCAGGTAGCTCCTGCACCTCCCAACCTGATCTGCAGCTGCTAGTCCAAGAGGCAGGTGGACCAATTCAAATTCACCATAAACATGGGGGGAAGGGTGTGGTGGCACAGGCCTGTAATCCCAGTAATCTGGAGGCTAAGGCAGGAGGATCCTTGCAAGTTCAAAGCCAGCCAGGAATTCAAAGTAAGCTCAAGGCCTGCCTGAACTGCATAGTGAGACCCTGTCTCAAAACGACAAACAAACAAAAAACATGGGAAATGTTTGTTTTTAAAAATCTTCTCCCCTTGCCTCACTTAAGTATAACAGACACAAGTGGCAGATACTGGGATCCTATTGATGGGACTCCAGGTTCTGCTTCAGTCTGTGACCTTAAACAGGATCTTACAGTTCATTAGCATGTTTAGTTCTATCTTAAAAACTACACTTGGGCCAGAGATGTGGCTCAGCGGCACAGTGCCTGCCTCGCAAGCACAAGGTCCTGAGTTCGATTGCCAGTACCAAAAAAAAAAAACTACAGTTGGCCCTCTAGATCCACAGGTTTTGCATCTGCTCCATCAGCCAACTTTGGACTTGAAAGTCTTTAAAAAAGAAAAAACAAAAACCCACGCCTGTATTGAACATGTACAGACTTTGTTCTTGTCATTATTCCCTACCAATACAACTACCATTTACATAGCACTTGCATTGTATTAGGTTATATTATAAGTAAGCTGCATACTGATATGGTAGGGCTGGGGACGTAGCTTAGTAGTAGAGCATGTATGAAAGAGAACATGGAAAGAAACGCATAGGTTATGTGCAAATACTATACCATTTTATGGAAGGCAGTTGAGCATCCGTGAATATTGGTATCTGTGAGGGTCCTAGAACCAACCCCCTTCAGGTACCTGGAGACCACTGTAATGACAGTGTTGCTCACTGTGTCCTTTTTTAAACAAGGAGAGTCATAAGGAGCCACACTGGCACTGAACTCACAGTAGGCGAAGTCTGAGAAGTCTAACGAAGTTTAACATTTCCCTTCCATGCGCCTGTCAGAATCGGCTCCAGTCTCAGCGGGCACTGCTTCTGCAAGGCACTGAAAGCCTCAACCGGGCCACCCAGAGTATTGAACGGTCTCATCGGATCGCCACCGAGACTGACCAGATTGGCTCCGAAATCATAGAAGAGCTGGGGGAGCAGCGAGACCAGCTGGAACGCACCAAGGGCAGAGTAAGCCTGGGCGGCAGGGAAGGGACGAGAAATGGGGAAAGTAGGTGGGCTGCACCCACGGGCCACACTAAATAAGGCCGAAGCTACCTCAGTTCTGAATTCAGAGAAGTAACCGGTTCGTAGTTCTTAATGCTTTTCTCAATGTTTAGTTTGTTTGGTGGGAAGAAATCTCCCTAAAAATAGTGTCACCCCTAAGACTTAGATATTGCTGGAAAAAATTGATTTAAAGACTGAAAGAACCTGATTTTTGCATTTATAAGATTATAACCATCCATCCGTATTAATTCCTGTGTCCTTCCACTTTGGCAAGAGATGTGTCAAAAGACACAACAGGGAGGTGAGGAAAAAGGACAACAGTTCAAAGCCATCAACCTGAGATTTTTTTGTATCAGTGGAATATTGTTATGAAAACATGTACTATTAAGACCGTGTCACTTAGAACCAGGCTGTTGTCCACATGTCAAAAAGAATACTTCCAGCGCTGAGGGTGGGGTGCACATCTGAAATCCCAGCATGGGGAGGCTGAGGCAGTGGAGTCCCTGCTGTGATTATACCTGACCATGTGGTTTAGAGGCCTTTGGAACTGGTTTGAGAGAGGAGTTTGCAAAGGTTTGGAGATGGAGGCAAGAGAAGCCCTAGAGTTCTGTAAGTCAAGCCTGATCTGGTCAGAGCTCAGAAGAGCAGAATGCTGATAGAAACAGAGGATAAAGGTCAGGCTTAGTGACTTAGTGAAACTGTGTCTCTAAATTGTAAAAAAAAAAAAAATTGAAGATCTAGCTCAGACACCACATTTCAATCCCCAGTATAGCCAAAAAAAAAAGAAGTATCTAATAGTTTGTAGATATCTAAATCACAGTCACTCCTGGACTGTGATTCTTTACTGTTACCCAAAAGAACTGGGTCATTGTGAGAATACAGAGACCAATGGTTCTTTTGGGGGAGGTCTCTAGCATTTCACCAGGCTCTGAAAAATAGCTCAGTCCTTTCTATAAATGAGTTAATATCTATACGGATTTCCAAAAAAGTGCAGATTGTCAGTGGCATGTCCATTTATTGGATGCTGGGGATCGAACCCAAGGCCTAACATGTGCCAGCCGGGTGCCATACCACTGAGCCACTTGCCGGCTAGAACACTGTCTTCTTAGGAGCATGTTGCAAATCCAAACTGAAAAACATCCTGGGGGCCAGACGGAGATAGGAAAATACTAGCTCACTGTGAGGATTTGAGATTTTCATAGCTGCAATTTTTCATTCTTAAAATAGGTCAGAGTGATAGTCTTCCCATTTCAGTGAAAATTCACAAGTGCTAAATTCGTGGCCCACTGTGGAGAATGACACTTGTTTGCAAATTATACGACTTCAGATTTTTTAACACACCAGGTGGATAGGTTGAATTTCCAAGCCATAGAATGATCTGGAAGCCAAGTGATCAGTTTCTCATGGCTGTGCCGAACAGGAACATTCTGTTGAAATATCCTCCTAGATTAGTAATAAGCAATCAAAAGGGAAGGGTCCGTGCAGGCCGATCTGTCCTTTCAGAATTGACAGGCAGGTAATGCCACAGCAGATAACAACAGAAAAAAGTAACTAGATCCCCAAAATGGTAACCCACCAGTCTCCAAAAACAAACACCAACTCAGGAGGCTGTTCTGGGATTTGGATGATGAAATCAAATCTTAAGTTGCTTCATAATCACTGGCCCGGTAGATGAGAAACCTTCCTGTTCTGAGTAGCTAGTCCCAGCCAGAAGTCCACCCCTACACAGCCTTGGGAACTGGTAATTCCCAGGCCTCCTTGATGAGTACCAAAGTGTCTTTATCTTTTCTAGGTCCTTCTACTTATACTCAGAGGACATCATTTAAATTGGTTTGATTTCTTGGCATTTTTAATACATTCCTTATCTTAATACCCACTGTTTAAGGATATTCAAGTTCTATACAGTATGTAGTTCTGAAAGAAGGGAGAAATAACTGGTATTTTCTCTTCTCAGCTGGTAAACACAAGTGAAAACTTGAGCAAAAGTCGAAAGATTCTCCGTTCAATGTCCAGAAAGTAAGTTTTAAAAAGAGTTGCAAAATTAATTTCTCTTAATGTCTTTCAATCAAAAAACAGTGATTTACAAACTTCCCACTGAATCATCTCAGTAAGGGAAACCACATGGTCCTATACTGAGTTTCACCCAGCGGATAAGCAGAAATAAAGGAATATAGGTGTTTGCCAAGGAATATAGTTTTATATAGTGAAATATTCCAGGATAAAATCCTTTGTTAAAATTGTGTACTACTCTTGAAGCAGTGGGAAATTTGTCCACTGAAAAGACATTTAATCTCTCAGCTTGCATTCCTTAGAGAAGACACATGAAAATAATAGAACTTCATACTCCTTAAAATACTTTTAAAACTTAATTATAAAGCAGTTTCTACTACTACTGCTTAGTGCATGTTTTTGGCTCTGCTTGCCATAGTAGTCAGGCCATTTTCTGGAAGTCCTGTCTTGTAGCAAGAAGACTTTAATTAAAAAAAACAAAACACAAAACACAAAACAACCCTGAGGTAAGTGTTACCACTGAGGCTGAAATTGGGGTGGTGTTGGGCAGTGTGGATGACCTTCAGCACGTGTGGCCTGGCACGAGTCGAAACCACAACCTGTTCATGTGGCTAGCAGGGGGTAGTATTGCCAAAGAGGAGTTAATTCCTCATGGAGTATGGAGAAACCTAGAGTAATATGAGAACCAGAATTTGGTTCTTTCTATAAACAAAAGACAGGAAATTTTTACAGTAATACAATAACTAGAAAAGACTAAAATCTGTCCAAGTAGGGATGAAAAGGGCAGAATTATAGATCTTACAGAAATCTAGAAGATCATCAGTACCTATTTTGAGAACCTATATTCAAACAAGATGGAATATACAGAAGAAATGGACAGAATCTTGGATACATATGAACTACCAAAGCTGAATCAAGAAGATACAAAAATTGTAAATAAACCATTATCAGTCAGCAAAGTTGAAGATGTGATTTAAAACCTACCAACAAGCTGGACATGGTGGCACATGCCTGTAATCCCAGTACACGGGAGGCTGAGGCAGGAGGATCACTGCAAGTTTGTAGCCTGGGCTACAAAATGAGTTCAGGGCCAGCCTGAACTCATAGTGAAACTTTGTCTCAAAAAGACCAAAAAAAAAGAAAAAAAGAAAAACCTAACAAAGAAAAGCCCAGGCCCTGATGGATTCACAGTTGAATTCTACAAGAAAGGGAAACAGTACTCGCAAATTCTTTCTTGGAAACGAGCATTACCCTGCATCTAAAACCAGAGAAGGACCCAACTAAAAAAGGAGAACTATAGGCCAGTATCCCTAATGAACATAGACATAAAAATCCTCAATGAGATACTAGCAAACAGAATGCAGTAAATCATCAAGAAGATTATACACCATTACCAAGTAGAGTTCATCCCAGGGATGCAGGGGTAACATATGTAAATCAATAAATGTAATAAATATAAATGTAATACACCATATTAACAGAGCCAAGGACAAAAACCATATGAGCATTTCTGCAAACCCAGAAAAAGCATATGACAAAGTAACATTCATGATGAAAACCCTACAGAAAATTGGAATAGATGGTCTTTTTCTCAGTCTCATAAAAGCCAACTATGACAGACCAACAGCCAACATTATACTAAATGGATAAAAATTTAAGTCTCTACTCAAAATCAGGAACAAGACAAGGATGTCTACTGTCACGACTCTTACTCAACATAGTTCTGGAAACATTAGCTATGTAGTGTTTTGGGTTTTTTTGGGGGGGTACTGGGAATTGAACTCAGGACCTTGTGCTCACCAGGCAGGTGCTTGTGTCACTAAGCTATATCCTCTGCTGGAAACATTAGCTACAGCAGTTAGATAAGAGAAAGAAAAGGAATAATGAAAGGAAAGGAAGAAGTTATCATTATTTATGGATGATATGATACTCTACATTAGAAGACTCCAAAAGACTTCTAGATTTAATAACCAAATTCAGTAGCATAGCTAGATACAAAATCAACACTCAAAAATCAATAGCATTCCTGTACACAAATAACAGACTCACTAAGAGAAATTAGGGAAACAACGCCTTTCACAATAGCATCCAAAAAAATGAAATACCTAGGAATCAATAACAAAGAATGTAAAGACCTCTACATTGAAAACTACAGTACTCTGAAAAAGATCAAAGAGGGTATCAGAAAATGGAAAGGTATGCCTTATTCTTGGGTAGGAAGAACCAACATAGTGAAAATAGCCATACTCCCAAAATTGTTATGCAGACATAATGCAATCCCAATCAAAATACCAACAGCATATCTCACAGAATTAGAGAAAATAATACTAAAATACATTTGGAACTAGAAGAGATCTAGAATATGAAAAGCGATTCTGGGCAACAAAGGCAAGGCAGGGACATCACAATTCTGGAAATTATACTACAAAGCTACTGTGATAAAAACAGCATGGTACTATGGGCAAAAAACAGACCCCAGGATCAGTAGAATAGATTAGAAGATGCAGACACAACTCCAAACATATTCAGCCACATTATCTTTGACAAAGGAGCCAAGCACCTTCACTGGAAGAAAGATAGCATCTATAATAAATGGTGCTGGAAAAATTGGCTTTCCACATGCCCAAGATTAGACTTAGATCCATATCTTTCACGATGCACTAAACTAAAATTGAAATGGATCAAAGATCTAAATATTAATATGGAAACACTAAGTCTGCTGGAAGAGAGAATAGGTAGAATTATTGAAGACATTGGTGTAGGCAGACTTCATGAACAAAATTCCAGTCACACAGGAAATATTACAAAGACTCAACAACTGGGATCTCATCTTTCTTTTGCACAGCAAAAGAAACCACCAACAGAGTGAAGAAACAATTCACAGTGTGAGAAAAACTTTTTGCCAGCTGTTCCTTAAAGGAACGGAATTCCTCTAGAATACATAAAGAACTCAAAAAAAATCAGACCTCCCACATTGGAAGACCCAATCCAAAAATGGGCGTCTGAAGTAAACACTTCTCAGATGGAGTAAAAATGGCAAATAAATACATGAGAAAATGTTCAGTATCATTGGTCATTTGAGAAGTGCAAATTAAAACAATGCTGAGATTCCATCTCACTCCAGAAAGAACATTAAGAGATCAACCAATAACAAATCCTGGTGGAACTGTGGGGAAAAAGGAACCCTTCTTCACTGTTGGTGGAAGTGGAGACGGGTGTAACCACTGTGGAAATCAGTGTGGAGACTCAGAAAACTAAAACTAGAGGTTCCACTTGATCCAGGTATTCCCCTTCTTACCACAGCAGTGTAAGAACACCGATGTTCATAGCAGCACAGTTTGGAATAGCTGTATCTTAGAAAAAGCCCAACTGCCCATCAACCAATGGATGGATAAAGACGTGGCTTTTTTTATGCAGTGAAGTACTACTCTGCCATAGAGAAGTACAAGCTTCAGACACTTCTAGCTAAATGGCTGCATGTTGAGGCCATAATCTTAAGTGAAATAAATCGAGCACATATTTAAGTACTGCATTATTTCTCTGGTGTGAGAAACTGAAAATGTAAATAAGGACCAAAATGTATAATAGATATTGGGAAATGGGAAGAAAATGTTCAAATGAGAAGGGGAACTTTCAACAAAAGGGAAAGAAGGGACAAGAAAAAATTTAAAATGAAAGCAAAGCTTTTGTAAATGAGCAGAAGAAGGGTTGGAGGGAGGGGAGGGAATAGGAAACAAAGAAATAAGATATGTACAGGTACAGATTTCCCTGTGACGAATGTTACCATTGGATATATCTAAAATGTACTGACAAAATAAACCTAGTACAGACAGCTGGGTAGGCGAGCAGAGCAAAGAAAACTACTAGGGAGAAATTTCAAGAGGCTGAAAGGCGGCAATACCCAGGCTTCCAGTTACTCATCCTAAAAGCAGGACCCAGCTGTGAGCTGGACTTGGACACAAGCCTGTCCCAGCCTCCTCTCCCAACCTGCATCACAGCTGTGGTGTGTAACTGATGCGGCTGTACATTGCAGATAGGATAACTGTATTTCTGCTGTTTCAGATAACGATGTAGAGACATTTTACAGCCAAGAAACCATTTTTATGCTTTGTACCTGTTCCCCATTTCTATGAAGTAGACAGTGTTGTCTCTTAAGTGACAACTCACCTTACGAGTTGTCAGTTACCAGCCAAAGAACTTAAGAGCACCTTTTAGTGGCTGTGATTGTGACCCCCCCCCCCCAAAAAAAGTCAGTCTGCCTCACACTCTGACCCATGGCTGACCCCCGGGCAAATCCCAAAGTATTCAGGACAGCAAGAAAGACAGTTACGTAAACCACTGCCCACTACTTTTTTCTTCTCTGTGCAGAGTGACAACCAACAAGCTGCTGCTCTCCATCGTCATCTTACTGGAGCTCATCATCCTGGGAGGCCTGGTTTACTACAAGTTCTTTCGCAAGCACTGAACTTCCTACAGGAAGGGCGTTGTGGGCCAGGCCTTGACCCCGTGGAGGAGTGGTGGTGGGCAGGCTGTGCGGTGAGCATGCTGCTGTGGGCTGACCGTTCAAGGATGCACTGCATAGCCAGACCGTGGGAAGAGGGGGTCCAGACAGAAAACCACGTAAATGTGAAGGAACAGTGACAAGAGCAGTATGATATACCAAGGTAATAAATGTTTATGATCTCTTCAAATTTACATAATACTACATTAATACCTTGTGAACTGCAAAAAACCAAATGCATTTACAGTGGTACTGTTGGTCACCAAAAGAGAGAGGGGAGACTTTACAGTTGTGAGAATGCACAGATGTTCTCATTAAGGCAGTATTGACCCAGATAGCCATTTATATCTGTCCCCTCAAAATGCCTCACAGCTCTGGAATGCCCACTGTGAGACGCTCCAGCGTGCAGTATTTCCTAAATCCGCACACGTTCTTTGTTTTCTGATTCATCTGGTGAACTGGGAGTAGGAAGTTGGTCGTAGATGATGTGCCCGCCTTCCCTTGTCTGACCAAAACTTGAAGCAATCACATCCACCGCAAGGCTGGCTGTCGCCTTTGCTTCTTCCTCCGAAGTGGCCAAGTGAGGATTGACCTCAACCAGATCCAGTGCGGACAGCAACCCTGTAGGAACAAGGCAGACAGAACTTCGGCAAAGTCCCTAGCTGCTGCTCTGAGGGAGTTACCCTGCCTGGACAAAGAGAACACGCCCGGGCAAAAAGGGCATTTTCTACTATAAAACTTGGTCAGGAAGCTCCTCGTGCCCCATCCTCCTGGCCACGAATTTAAAACACTGATACATATACCAGAGAAGGACTGAAAGAAACTTAAAGTAATGAAATCATCCCTGCTCAACTAACGTAACAGACAAAGCTGTTAGGCTTTGTGACAGTATTACCTGTTTTTATTTCTTTTTTTTTTTTTTACAATGCTGGGGAAGGAGCTAAGGGCCCCACCTTTATCTCCTAAAGTACATACCACCTGCCCTGAAATGTAGTTGTCACTGCAGACTTTATTCCTGCCCCTTCCTGCGTGAGTGCTGAGAGCAGGTTCCATGTCTGATGCAGTTTTTCACCTCCCAGCACACTGGCCCTGCATCTTGTATATGGTCAAGGGGACTCAGCCATATCTTCACTGTTTAATTTGGACTCCAGCTGCCTTCTGTAAGGGTTTGAGAACTTCTGCCCCAGGTCCTTTGACCCACAGTGAACGAGGGAAAGGAACAAACCTCTCAGGTCTGCCCTCTATCCTCATCACCTCATACATGGTCTACATGTCTAGAGAATTTAGCTTTTTAATTGGTTATTCTCAGTGAAGTTACTCTACCTCCTCAAGAGCCGCCTGAGCAAAGTAATTTTCAAGAATACAGTACTGGAGAACATTAAGGTGGCTGTCAAGTCCAGAATCCTGATATTACATGATTGTAAGTGATATATTTAATGCTGCGGTATCTGTTCGGTGTCTTACTTCTCAGCAGTGCGTGGCTGAGTGTGCTGTGAAGCACTGCAGTGGCCAGTTGCGTTGCCATAGCGTTTCTGCCTTCTATTGCACATGTTCTGTATCCTGATAAATTATGTCTCTGAATTCCACTGGCTTAACCTGTACCTTTTTTTAAAAATTTTTCTTTATTTTTTGGTGCCGGGAGTCAAACTCACGACCTCATGTCTGCCAGGCAGGCGCTGTGTTGCTGTGTTCCCGGCCCCTTAACCTGTAACTCAGTATACCCCAAGTAGTGATCCAGAGGGTTTGTATTATTAAAAATACACAGTACCTATATGTCCAGATTATGGCCATCCTTCAAGTTTAAGCAGACTGCTGTATTTGCAGTTGGCAGTGTCATACAGTCTTTTAGGGGTTGTTTTTTGGTGTTTGTTTTTGAGACAGGGTCCCACTGTGTAGTCCAGGCTGTCAGCAGTCCTCCTGCCTCAGCTACTGTCCGAGTGCTGCAATTATAGGCATGCACTGCTGTAGCCAACTACCTTTAGGAATCAAATAATATTGCAGCAGGGGAAGGAGGCACAAGGCATGACCACTGCCACATCTGAGTGCTGCACGTTATTCGCTGCTTCTCAGCTGGGAAGCAAAGGGCAGGATTGAACTCCCAGCTTCTCGCCGCTGACCACGCACCTTGGCAGCATCTGAGTTGGCAGGTCTGGGAATGAGATGCTTGCTACTGGAGGCCTTAAGAGGCAGTACTGGCGTAAGGTCCTAGGAAGCTCCAAAGTTGTTTTCTTTGGTACCGAGAATCGAACTCAGGACCTTGCCCTTGCCAGGCAGGCGCTTATGCCACTGAGCTATATCCCCAACCCAGCTCCAAAGTTTACTGCAGTTTTAGAATGGTTACTGAAACAGTACCATGTGGCAGCTTAATTTTGGAAGGAACGGTCATTTAAAGTGACCTTAAAACCAGAAGCTTTCTGACAGATGGGCACTGTAAACAACCGAGTATGAGCTTTGAGATAGTAAGCACTAGTAGCCACTCTCCATAGTCCAGCCTGCGCTGTCAGCCAGTCATCCCACTGTTTCTCCTTATTACAGCACCTATCAAACAAGCTCCGAGACAAAACATCCTAGATAAAATGGACCAAGGTACTGTCCAACGTGCAATAATCTTCAAGAGATCAGGTTTATCTCCAAACTCCCAACTCCCAACAAACCAACAGCCTCTACTGTTAGAGCAAAAACTGTGGCCACTTGGCTTTGCCTTCTTCATGTGCCTTTGGATGGCTCATGTGCAAGGAGCTGCATCAGGTTGGCAGTCCGTGCTTAAATGTTTCATGTGGACACGTTTTCTTATTCATGATTACCAGCATGTATCCTGGGATAATCCAGATCCAGATATGCCTTTAAGTGACTATTTCCCTTATTGTTTGGCCATATGCTTTTTAGGTATTAAAGCTTAAGCAAAACAGTCTGCAATAATATGGAATAGAAAACATCGCCCGTAGGCAAGGGTCAGCAGCATAGTTAGATGCGGAATTAACAGGCTGCAGCCCTGGTTGCTCCATACCTGTATTGTGTATTTCTTCAGCAATATACACGCCTTCTCGATAGGTCAGTCCCCCTACCACAGGGGTTCCTGTGGCTGGGGCCAGCGTAGGGTCAAAAGCATCAATGTCAAAACTCAGGTGGATTGGTCTTTGTCTTCTGGAAAGAGGACGAGAGAATATATTTTTGATAGTGCTTGTAGACTCCCTCCTGTGATTGCAACTCCCTGATTTTGTTCCTGTTGATCCTGGTACAGTGGTACCTCAGTTCACAAACTAATTCTGGTTGCGACCAGAGTAATGGAAAGAATTCAGCTCGTGAACCAAGGTACCATTGTATTTTGTTAATACAGCAGATTCCCAGGTTTTCTATTCCTGGGAGTTACTGAGACTAACATATTAGTTTCCTGCACACTACTTCATGATATTGCCACGTGTTCCACATGCCTCACAGGAGTAATTCTAGTTCACGTTTTGGGGCTTAGCCTGGGCACTAGATCCTCTCACAGCAGTAACTGTCAGAATAATGAACACTTCATTTCCACAGGAGACTGGGCTCTGATACACGGAATTTAGGTTAGCCTGATCAGAGTTACAGTTCTGGTTATACCGAGTGTAACAGCAGCTGGACTTAATTCTAATTTTGTCTGCAAACCTAACTCGCAATTCCAACTTGAATGTGAGTGTCCAATGGCTGAAACTAATGCCCAACACCTTATGCCAAAGAACGATTTCTTAACAGCTTAGGAACTGACGTCAGTTACCCAGTAGTCTTGACACTGGGAAAATGCTCTTTTCCGCCCCCCCCGCTTTCAGACAAGGTTTCATGAAGTTGTCCAGGCCGGTCTCAGACTTGTGATCCTCCAGCCCTAGTACCTGGGACTACAATTGTGTGCCGCTCCACTCGGCAGGAAAATGCTCTTTAAATTAGCATTTGCTTAACATTCATCTGCTCTCTTCCTGTACTGCCAGGATTTAGTGACTGTAACACTCAGATGATGCCATAGTGAGGCTGAAAAGAAGGGGCCACTGGAGCATGGAGGTGGATGGGAGTTCATCGGAGACACAGGATCTGGGCAGTGACTTCAAGGAAATCGCCCCGCACCTGAGAAAGAATATGCTTGTATCTCATACTACCCTTTCGTGAAATACTTGAAATTTTTTTTTTTTCTCTCCTGATGCCGGGAATCGAACTCACAACCTTGTGAGTTTTGTCTCTGTTATAAAAGTAAAGTTCCTGGGCTCAAGAGACTTGAGCTGCCCTGTCCACAAGGCCTAGAGGTAGACATACATTTCAGCTACTTACTTGCCAATCAGCAGATCAAATGTCTGTTCCATGACCTTCTGGATACCAAGTCGATCAATGTCCCTCATGGAAAAATACTGAATATCATAGTTCTTTAAAATAAAGCTGGTGAGACAGAAAGGAATTCTTAGTTTAAAAAACACTTTTAAGACTGGTGCGGTCACCGAGGGTGGCGGCGCACACCTGTAATCCCAGGTCTTGGGCATCTTGGGCATCTGAGGCAGGAAAGTCACAAGTCCTCCCTGCTCAACTTAGCAAGACCCTGTCTCAAAAAGTTTTTTAAAAGGGACGGAAATACAGTTCAGTGCAAAGCCTCCAGTACTGTAAAAAATATGATGAAATATAAAGAAAAACTGCAGATGTGTATTTAAGGGAGTTTCCCCTTTATATTGACCACAACAGATTAAGTGGAGCATCATCTTGCAAGAATGCAGGTGGGCTGGTGGCACGGCTCGGTGGTGGAGCACCGGCCCGGCATATGCGAGGCCCCGGATTTGAGCCCCAGCACCACAAAAAAAGAAGCTTAAGTGGTCAGCGCAGGCCCAGCGCTTAAGCCTAATCACCAACTTACTGTTCCGGAGGGTCCACGTCTCTTAGGCCAATATACACGATGTTTGGGGAAGAGATACAAGGTTTGATCCAGGAAAAGCCTGGGAGTGGTGGTATCTGTGAAGAGAAAAGAACAGGATTAATCAAGCATTCTTCCATCATCAGCGTGCCCCTCTGAGGGTGTACAATCGCTTTCTCCCGTCCTTGGGATATGTTTAAAGCAGCACAAAACATACTTGGTCTCCAAGTAGAAATATTTCAGGGCAGCTGAAAAACAGTATAGCTTCTCAATGAGAATGAAAACTGTCTTCTAAGGTAGTCCTGGCTTTTCACTTATTACCTAATACCAGGGATGTGCTGATCAGCCCTTCTCCATCCCTTTGCACATCACTGCGCTGTTTACACACTGGCTGTTACTCTTTTGTTTTTGTTTTCGTACTGGAAATCGAACTCAGGACCTTGCGCTTGCCAGGCAGGCGCTGTGCCGCTGAGCTATATCCCCCGCCCTACACGCTGGTTTTTAAGTTGCCGTCTTAAGTTATCAATGGCCAGATGAATTCTGCCTAGTGAAGATCTTTGTACTGTGCTGGCTTCACTGGGTTCCTCGCTGAGGGGAGGAATATAGTCTAGTCTATGCCTGATACGGACTCTGATGGCTTATGAACAGTTCAGGAAGACATCGCCCAGAGGTGACCAAGGTTTGACCCACATTCTAGATCAGTGTACCCGAGGGTGTGGCCTGGGAGCCTCTAACCGAGAAGCCCTCGGCTGTGGGATACCCATCACTACCTTTACTACTCACTCGCATTTTACTCTTACCAGATTATGAGCCCCTCCCCACAACACCCAGGATCGTGTCCTAGGCGTTTTTATATCCCAGCATCTGGCAGACTGCCTGGTCCGTTACAGTATTTAATAAATGAAGGAGTGGTAAGCCACACTCAACACATCCTTCCACTCAGTCTCAGTGAACTAGACCCCAGAAGCCCCAGGATCCTATGGGACAATTACCTTACCCTTGTGGCCCACTGACCTTGTCCTGTAGTTCTCTGAGGAGAAATGCAACTGGCTGTCCATGGAGATTTCCTGATACAGTGGTGAGGGGTGTATTGATGTCAGCATGGGCATCAACCCAAATGACACAAAGGTCTGGGCAGTGCCGGGCGTGACCACTAATAGAACCGATTGCCAGGCTGTGAAGAACAAATATAATAATCTTCAAGGCCCTCTACTTGGTAAACATCTCCAGTCACAAATACCCTCAGCCAACACCACTTATACTCTGTCCTCAGGGCAAAGTCAGGGCCTGAACTGAAGCTGGGTCAGGGTAAGACCAGAGTCCCTGGGTTGTACTTCCCAAAGATTCACTTAGAGTGGGTTAGACAGGAGAAGTATAAAGCTGTAAAGATTCAGTGCCAGCCGGGCGTGGTGGCACACGCCTGTAATCCCAGCACGTGGGAGGCTGAGGCAGGAGGATCATGGCGAGTTCAAGGCCAGCCTGGGCTATGAAGTGAGCTCAAGGCCAGCCTGAACTGCACAGTAATACCGTCTCAAAAAGACCAAAAAAAAAAACTCAGTGCAGACAACCTGCTATCCTTGCATTGAGAGCTATTTCTGCCCCCCAAATCCATATAATTGTGATGCTTTAGCAGCCCTGGCCCAGAAAAGGACCTCAAAGATCTTTTCAATGAATGAAATCTAGTTAAATGATGTGAGCTGTGTGAAACACCTCACAAAAAAGGTTGCTTAATACTTTCTAAGGGAGACCTAGGAAATACAATGCTAACATCCAGAGAATCAGTTATAAGGAGAAAAATTAGCAGGACTGTGGGTGTAGCTCAGCAGGAGAGCATGTTCAAGTCCTGGTTTAACCAGCATCACCAGAAAAAAAAAAAAAATTACCAAGCTTTACAGCTTTTTAGAAAGCTTGTATGTGATGCTTCCTAACCTGAAAAGTCAAAGTTGTTAAACATTAAATTGGCAAGCCCAATTGAAGATCTCATACACCACTGAATAAAATAAAGGATATTAGCGTGAATGTTTGTTACATACATTTGCAAAGCATTCACATATTTTGAAGTGTTTCTCTATTTTGCTTTTCCTTGTCCTTGGATTCTGTTTGTCAGCCACCTGCCCTATCTCAGCTGCTGGAATACAGCTAATGAGATTGTGGTTGGAAAGCTGCCAAGCTTCCCAGCACCAAGGGATTTACCATGGGAAGTGCAGTTTAAGCATCTTAGGAACTAAGGACAGCCACCCTCAGTCAGTGCAGACGGCCTTATAAGGCTCCTCGCCCCACCAGGTGCATCTGTGGGATAGTACAGTCCAGTGCTAATGGCAAGCCGACTTAGGATACAGGAGTTCTAGTGCAAGAAGGGTTTTGTGACTGAAGCAAACGCATCTAATTTCTCTCTTGTTTCCCTCTCTATAGAAAGGGTTAATCATACTTGGCGTGTTTAAGTTAGTACAGCATAAGTTGTACTCTATAAATAAAAGGAGTGATCTGAAAATGCCTCATCATTTAAAATGCCCATCAGCTGTTCTGCATATACACCCTCCCTTGCTCCCTAGAATCTACAGAGAGCCTAGGTTTTGGTGTTGAGTAGGAAATAGCTAAGCAGTAAGATAGCTGCAGTATAGATAGCCACAGGCAGAGGAAAAACCAGACTGTGCTATTCACATTGGTCAGTCCCCAGACAGAACTGACCAGAAGAAAGAATAAACTTCCAGAGTCGGCGCTGAGCCAGGAGGCAGGACTCCTGCCTGGGTTTATTTAAGTGAATGCCTCGGTCATTGCAGTAGGAAACTTGGGTATGACCACTTTCATATCCCACCTGGGTTTTCATTCCTAACGTGGAATCTGCCTGCCTCTTCTGGGGCTGGGGTGAAGAGTTCAGTGGTAGAACAGTTGCCTGGCAGGGCAGAGGTGCTGAGTCTAATCCCCAGCACCTCTCCAGATTTAACTCATAGTGATCTGAAAAGCTGTCTGAGCACCTCCAGGGAAACGGACAGATGGGTCTAAAAAGAGAAATTAATTGCCTTAGGAGTTACACAGCTTGCATCCTGCTGTAGCTCTGCTACAGGCCTTGGGTAACTTCTCTAGCCTCGGTGCTTCCAGAAGAAAATCAGATAAAACCACATCTACCTCATGGCATCCTTAGAAGTAACTGAAAATGTGTATGAAGTGTTCTTACCCCTGGTACGTCAGTTGCTTCTTGCTACCAGAAACCTTTATAACCTAGCTCATATCACACTCTTGTGAAATCGGACTACTCTAGCCCAGACTGACCTCCAATCTCGTCTCAGAAATTCTAGGGAATTCAGTATTTATAAATTTTCACTCCACGTGGCTGTAAAATGGTGTCCACTGGAACATTTAATTTCATCTAGTCCTAACAGATCACAAGTTTTCTTTAATTTCATCTAGTCCTAACAGATCACAAGTTTCCTATGTTTGCTAACACTGCTGAAAAAAATCTTTATACGGTTTTCAGTAAGGTACATGCTGATTTGCTAAGAGACAAAAAATAGTCACCTAGGGTCCATAATGTGGAGATAAAAAAACACACTGACTTGGTGGGGGGCAAGGTGTCTCTCACAAATCTGTTAGTAGGAGTGCTAACCAAAAACTGCCTACGTTCGGCTCGATGATGGATTCTACCAATTCTCCAAAATAGCCAAATGAAAAATAATTTCTCAAGAAGAGTTTCCAAGAGTTAAGCCTGAATCACCATCTAAAAACCTTTCTGCGTCTGCCTCTAGCTTTGCTGTGTTTGCTCTTACAATATAGTGCATTGTACCAAGCGAATCATACAGTGCCTTTAGCAGCTCATGATCTTACACATTAAAATGCTGCAACATACATCATACCCTAAAAATTCTGCAGAGTATTTTTTTCCAGGTAAGGAAACCAAGTGAAATGCCCCAAGTACCATGTCACGCAGCCCCCCGGCTCCTGGCTTACCTGTGGTCTCCTCCCACGGTGACACAGCTGTAGCCGTCTGACACCGCGCCACTAACCACCTCGGTCAGTTCCTGGTTGGCGAGGCCCACTGAGCGCGGATTGACTACCAGATTGTTGAAGGGCTCATCTTTGAGAACTGGAGTGAAGCTCAAATCTCCAAAGTCTTTTAGGCGGTAGCCTGCGAACAGGTGAGGGAATGACAAGGTGAACTGCACGTGCTGTTCTCTCACTGGCCTGGGCCACACGAATAATAACTTGTGAAAACATTACATTCATTTTGTCAGTAAAACTAGAAGTGTCACATGAAGCTGGATGCAATAGCACATACCTGCAATCCCAGCTACTGCAGAGGCTGAGGCAGGAGATCACAAGTTCAAGGCCAGCCTTGGCACAGTATCTCAAAATAAAATTTAAAAAGAGCTAGGGATGCAGCTCACTGGTAGAATACTCTAGGTTTCATCCCTGGTACTACAAAAAAGTCACATGACCAGCAAGATTACCTCGGTCCTCCCAGCAACCCTGAGGTAGTGCTATTACGAACACCATTTTGCAGAAGCAGCTGGGATGTTAATTAACCTAGCAATCACAGAAATTGGTAGCAATTAGACCTCACATATCCCAGAATTATGAAGTGGAAGTAAAATACCAAGATTAATCAATAGGATTGAAAAAAAATTAAGTACTGTCAATGTAGGACAAAAGTATATTAGAAATTCCCCTTTTTTTAATAAAATACAAAGTCAGAGGAAATAAAGCACACAGAGAGAAACATTTAACATTTATTATTTAAAAGGTCCCAAGCATTGTCTCTAAGCGCAGAACACAAATTCTCATTTAAAACAATCCTATTACGCAACTAAAATACAAGGATGCTGATTGCATAAGTGAGGAAACAAGCAAGGAGAAGTAACCTTGAGAGGCCACACAGCTGCCGGGTGTCAGCATCAGGAGCTGTATCTCATCTGGTCCCAGCGTTTCTGTTCGCTACTACAGTTTATCTCCCAAAGAATCCCTCCTCCTCCCAGCACTACTGTAGTCAAGAACTACAAAGGTCTTCTGACAACTTGAATATTTTCCCACCTACTTTAAGGGTGAGGCTAACTGTCAGAAAGCAATCTAAACTCTCAGAGCGGAATGTTCATCATAGATTGTACCCTTGGGGCCCTGCTTCTCAAGCTGGTGTCCAGGTAGTGGGTAGTGGTGGGGGAACTGTCACAGGACTGGCACAAAACACACCTTTTTACCTTGTTAAAGACAGATTAAGACCAGCATGAATTTAAATTGTATGGTTTTGAGCTTTTTTCTTAAACCCAGATTCAATCCAAAGCCAAAGTTTTGAGGAATGTAAAGAGCTGAGAAGCACTTACCTAGAACTGAAATCCATAAGGCCACCCAGAGGATCACCATGGAAAGGTGTATTGGAAGCAAAACAGATAACCTTATGCCAGTGGTGGCAAACCCGTGGCACGCATGCTGTCGCCAGCTAGTTGAATCACTGAACACTCTAAAAGGTTCGCCATCATTGCTTTATAATCCTACTCTCAAAGGTTGGATGCATGTGCAACTAGAATTCTGTATGTATCTTTTGGTTACTGCACTTTAAAAAATAATCATAAAAGGCCCCAAATCAGGGAAGATCCAGACAACTAAGAAGAAAGGGAAGAGGGGATGCAGGTAGAAGAATATGACAAAGGCCAAAGACATGGGGAACCAAGAAAAGGAATAACCAAATAAAAATCTATGAAAATCTTATTTTGGGGTGCTGGGATTTGAACCCAGGGGCTCATGCTAGGCAAATGTGCTACTACTAAGCTACATCCTTCAGCCTCTAGGTCTCTTTTCTTTTTTTTTTTTTGGTCTTTTTGAGACAGGGGCTTGCTATGCAGTTCAGGCTGGCCTTGAGTCACTTTGTAGCCCAGGCTGACCTCTGAACTCGAAACGATCCTCCTGCCTCAGCCTCCCGAGTGCTGGAATTACAGGCATGTGCCACCACACCCACCCAGCCTCTAGGTCTTTTAAAAAGAAGGTCAGAAGAGGTTACCAAACCTCAGAGTATGGGGAGGACACTTTAGGCTTAAGAGAAATGCTTTTAATAATTTTTGAGTCAATTGAAGCTCTTCCCTCTGTTGGAAACACATCCTGAACTGGACAGATTGTGAGCAGCAGTGCCTGTTCTAGGGTGTTTCTGCTTCCGTGTTTTAGCAACCTCCTTAAACCACATCAAGGGGGCTGGGGATTTGGTTCAGTGGCACAGTGCCTGCCTGGCAAGCAGGAGGTCATGAGTTCGATTCCCAGTACCAGAAAAAAAAAAACAAAAAAAAAAAACCTCACATCAAGCATTAGGTTCTTCCTAGATGTAAGACACTAGAGCAGATGTGTCAGGCCCTCAGGCCACAAGTGGCCTTGAACAGCTAGTAATGCAGCTCCAGAGGATCTTAAACTTTCTACATTACTATATTATTTTAGCAGTATTTCTCATAACTTGATTGCATGGTGCTTGAACACGGACTGCGTACTCGACAGTGGAACGTTGGCAGGGTACCTGCCTCCTGCACCCGTCACAGGCTAAGAGAAACCCATGAGTGGATGTTACATGCACCTGTGCAGGCTGGCAAGCCAAACACAGCAATTCCAGTAATAGTATTCTAACCCGCCCACACGTGTGCCTGTGAAAACAGGCATTTATTGTGATCAAGCAGAAATGGAAGTTTTCTTATTTAATGATCAGACTTGGGCCTCGTGTGCTATTTCATAAGTTAAAAAGTTTTAGAGTTTGTTACTTCAGTATAATACCTATATCATGTATTTTATATGTGTTGCAAGACAATCCCTCTTCGCTCACTGAGGCCCGGGGCAAGCCAACAGGTTGGACACCCATGCACTACAAGTGCCTGGTATTTTGTAATATTAGGTGGAGGATGGTAAAGGCGTTATAAGCTAATGAATGATCATGTTAATATTAACCATCCGTATAAAACTTCTTGCCAAGCACTTTCGCTCATTAAACTTCTTGCCGGGTACTTTTAACTTATTAACAGTCACGTGACCAATAAATACAGAGGAATTAAAGTTCCAGTGGATAAGTGACAGAACTTGGAGAACATTCAAGTCCAATCACGGAAGCCAGGACGTGAACTCAGATAAGTGTAACAGAAACCAGCGCTCTGCTCACTTGTATCTGCTAATCACAAAAGAGCTGCTGCACAAGCCTTAGAAAGAACTTGGAAGTCTTAGCAGCGGTACACTCCAGGCTCACAGCAGTGCTGCCCAAGGAAGAGACAGTTGTGTAAAGAATTCGGTGGTGGAACGTGTGACTCTGCAGTGAGGTCATTTACCAGATGCACAGCCTGGGCAATAGAGGCTCTTGATTCCCGCACTACCCAGACTCCTTCTCACCCGACAGCCCTCTGGTTACTCACTTGGCGAAATGCATCGCATGCTGGCAGGACCACCACTCAGTCATGCATGGACACTGGGTTTCCCCAGCATGCTCAGCATGCATCTCGATTTGAAAGGCTGCTGAGCTGTGGCTACAGCAAGGCTGTGTTTCTGCATCTAGAAAGCTCAAAGCCAAACCCTGAAGGGATTAAGATCTTGAGAGCCCCCACTTGAAGGGCCTATAACTCCCAATCCTGCCCTGCTCTTTGCAGATTTCAGAGCCAGGTAAAGACTAGGGACAGTCAGTGCTAAGCAGAGGAAGCACACTGAAGACTGGGGCAGTCAAGCAAGGCCCCCTACAAGTAAAATCCGTTACCAGCGCCCTCCTGGCTATGTCTTTTCCCCCTCTCCCTTTATTGGTCATGGAAATTCTCTGTCAAAATGAATAAGGAAGTGATTAATGGTAGAGTGCGCCATTGTACTCCTCAGACCCGATCAGCGTATCCTTGCATCCTTTACACAAAAACATAATACATACTGTTCTTGCTGGGCGTGGTGGCACATGCCTGTAATCCCAGCACTCGGCAGGCTGAGGCAGGAGGATCGTTGCAAGTTCCAGACCAGCCTGGGCTACAAAGTGAGCTCAAGGCCAGCCTGAACTGCATAGCGAGACCCTGTCTCAAAAAAAGAGCAAACAAAAACAAAAACTAATACTCTTTTAAATAAGATTATTAGGAGGCTAGGGATACAGCTCAGTACTACCTAGCATGTGTGAGCCCCTGGGTTTAATCCCTAGTACTGAAAAATAAAAAATAAATTACTGGGTAAAGTAGGCTACACTGATTTCATAAATCCCCGAACTGTGGCCCAAATAGAGTCAGTGTGTTTCTTGCGTGGATTGTGGTGGACAACTAACAATCTCTGGCACAATGAATCACATTTTTAAAAAAGTTCCACTGCCATAACTCTCCAGTGATTAAGAACTCAAAACACAAAAGCGTATTTCACTCTCTCGTTACCAGTTTATATTGTTTTCAGTTATCCTAGTTCACTGTGGAGTCGAATCAGAAATACACCATCCTGAGGTAACTTCTTGAAAGCTTTCTCCTCTGCTGCCCACTGTACCAAGAACATCAAGGTACCCAAAGGACTGGGAGAGTAGAACCCAGAATTGGTTTCTGAAGGGTGAACAGGGGCCAGAAATGAGAAGTACATACGCCACTGACAGCAGCTGGCCAGCTGGATGCGGCAGCAGCGTGACACAAGGTAGAGGCGGCAGAGAACATGAACTGTAACCCACGGGAGTGGAGACTGATAGGACCTGAAATTTTTTGTAAGACCAAGATGGACTGAGTAATATTAAAGCTATTATCCAAGTGCTATGGCAAATTCTGGTAGTTCAGTGGGTATAAGGAATGTTCGCATTAATTTCTAAAGAGTTCTGCAGTCAGTAACAGTGATACTATTAATAGAGCAGTGATTAATTACTAGTAATAGAGTGGAGCCAGACATGGTGGTCTCCACCTGTAATTCCAGCTCGTGGGAGGCTGAAACAGGAAAAGTACAAGGTCAGGCCATCCTAGGCTGCATAGCAAGTTCAACACCGATCTGTAAAGTACGGCAAGCCCCTGGAAAGAGAGACAGGGAGAGACAGACAGACATTCCACATGGAAGGAGTATCCACCTACCCTGCATAAAGGAACTGTTCCTCTCCCTAACACTATGCTGTAGGCATTGCCTAGTCTGGTAAGGCTCAGGTGCTTCATGGCTACTTTTTTTTTCTAAGAAGGCATCATAGGA